TGATGATGATGATGATGATGATGATGATGATGATGATGATGATGATGATGATGATGGTAGTTGTAATACCCATCGAAGCCGACGAGCTTGAGAAGAACAGCTCGTACACCTGTTCAATCGATCGTATAGAAGAAAAGAAAGACGAAAGATAGGTTCGATCGTTCGAAAGAAGAAGAGAATTAATCGAAGTCATCATCGATCGAAGAAACTTGCGTTCAAAGAATATTCAAGCTTTGAAATTTCGATCGTAGGTTGTGTGTTGTTCACCACCTACTACTATACGTTCATATGCATGTTGTTGTTGGTTGGTTGAGTTGGATTCATCTATCGAATGACTTGTTTCTTAACGTTCTTGATAATGATAATAATAATAAAATAAATCATTTATCGAAGGGGGAGAAAGATACCTTTTGTATGAATAGAAAAATAAAAATATGATTATACGATTGATAGTAAATAATATATCTAATAATATTTTATCTTTCTAATGGTACAAATTAAAACTTTGTGAAAATAAAAATAATACGATATTCACGATAATATAACTTTTGTGTTAAGATTTGTACACAAAATGTCTTTTTAATAAACTCATTTATCATTTATTAATATTAATATAATTAAATATATTAATATATTTAATTTTATATTAATATATTATATAATTAAATAACAAAATTTGATTTATGTCAATAACGTTATTTCAATTTATCACAATTTAACCCAAAACGGAACATTTTAGTTTCATAGAAAATAAATATAAATTAAAATTTGAATAAATAAATAAATTAATAATTCTATAAAGGTAATATTAAATATTTAAAAAAAATCGTTCGTTACAAAATAGTCATAATTTTCGTTCGTAATCGATAACCACTACACCCACGCATATCATCATGGTTTAACATTAAGGAGCGACGAACGTTTGAGAAACGCATGTCTTCTGACATCTCTGACGTATGAACTTCGTAATGGTTAATTATGGAAATGTCTTCGTTCCTTATTGAGCGACTTCCGGGACTCGAATTGCACTGTGATCCCAAATTGATACCTACGCATTATCGTATTTTACGTTACATATTTAAGTACATATGTATGTACTTATATCTACGCTTTTATTCGAAAAATTTGCCAACTGTTAAATGCATTTATTTTCAATATCGTTAACGTTGAACATAACAAAGATGCATTGCGTTTTTTTTTTTTTTTTTTTTTTTAAGAAAAATTCTCTAAATTCTTTCTTCTTTAAATAAAACAAAAAACATTTAATTATAGAACAAACTTGTATCAAAATATATCACTCAAAATTATTATTTATTAGTACGAAATTTTGATTAAGTATTTTTACGATTATATTTGAACATTTCGTGCTTAATGACATATCAAAAGTTTCCTTTTTTTGTTGTTGTTGTTGTTATTCTATAGTGTTTCGATTTGAGCTTATTTTAGAAGAATTAAAATATAAAAAGAAATTGTACATAAGTCCCCGTAGTTGAAAAAGAACTTTAACGACGCACTTTTGAATCGAAGCTCGTTGTCGCTCCTTTTTAAATCATTATTCGCAGCTCGTCGAGCTCATCGTAACGTAGTCCGGTCACGTTCGACTCGTAACTCGGTATAACGAAACGTAACACACAAATCCCACAGAGTAAAACGTCCACATATATATAAAATATATACATATATATATATAAAGATATATACAATCGTATTACTTCGCGATTCTTCCCCGTTTATTCTACGCCGTTTCTTATTTCTCAACTAACGCGTACTATAGAACTAATATAAAGACTTTTTTTTCGAAAGGAAAATCGTATGTGTAAGAGATTTGATATAACGTGAAAGTGTTCAGACACGTATGAGGTTGAGTAAAGTGGGGGTGAGGGTAAAGGGAGGTAAGAAGTCTAGTTGAGATGTTTGTTGTGTTATGTTGTGCCGATCGTGTTGGATAAGCGAAGTAGTTGAAAGTCAAGATGACGGAAATAAGAGTCACGCATGCGATGACTACTACCCCTTTGATAAACATGAAAAGGAAGTCTTTCTCTCCTAGCCAAGAAAAGATGGCCAATCATCAATAAGTTAAGAACTCGAGAAACGGAAATTTAAATCACGTGCGTGTATTATATTTATTTTTGGTCTTCCCCCATAAACAATGAATGGTGTCGATTTTTTAAATAAATATAAAAACATATTATTGAATTAAAAATATTTTAAATAAAATAAATTTAATATAACAACAATTTATATAAATTTAATTTATATTTATATTTGATATATAAATATAAATTATATTTGATGTATATAATTATATTTATATTAATTATTCAAAAAGTTATTATATACTAAGAATTATAATAGTTGATTAATTAATATAGGATTCAAACAATTGAATTATTTTATAATACAAATCATCAAATGAATATTTTGAATTTTTTGTCTTTTTGTTAGTACCACTTTCATAATTGCCATCATAACATATGTGTACATACAACATTTTTATTATATACATCTATCGTTTTATTCTTTTTTTTTCTCTTTATTTCGCTTTCTTTTTTATACCTTTTGATGTGTGAGAGATCGAAATGAAAGCTTGCTTCCCCCTACATACATATATATATTGTTTGAATCAACGAATTGTTTCTCGACCGCCTATAGTGATTCCAATCCAATGTTTTCGACGGTCCGAGAAATGAAGTGCTCTTTTCGAATAAGTACAGTTACGTATAAAGATGTATTTCAAAAGGAGAGGAGAGAGAACGAATGAAAAAAAAAAAAAAACAAAGAAAAATAAGAAGAAAGAGAGATGCATAAAAATAATTGCATACAACACAACAGACCAATAAAGTAACTGTATACTAAATTAATTCGATGGCACGTATATAAACGAAAAGTTAAATATATGAAACACACACGCCGAAAGGATATAATGTGTTATTCTGTTGAAATTGTTAATAATGTATAAATCGTCGATTTATATTTCATTACAATTTACTCGTGTTTTTACATTACCATTTATGCATATACATATATACATGTGTATATATAATAACTCCTTAACAATTCCATAAATGAATAAAACACATCTTCACGTTGTACGAAAATGAAGATTAAAAAGTGATAGGGGGGTAGGGGTTGTCCATTTAATTATCAATACACATCGGGAAAGATTTTTTTGAAACGAAATGAAACGATTTCATCGAGTAAGATCATTAAGAAACGATTCATCCGAGTATATCCTGTTTTAATCGATCTAAAGAAGAGGAGGAGGTGGAGAAGGGAAGGGGTGGGGAAATGATCGTCTTCCTCGATCAACGAACATAACTCTGACGCGCACGTATCTCACAAAAAAAGAAACGAGATGATAAAAAAAAGAAAAAGAAATAATAAAAGAAAGGGTATGAATAAAGGTGTGGTGTGTGTGAGGGGCGGTGAAAGAAGGGAAGTGGAGAACGGGGGATGAGATGGAAGAAAAAAAACGAATAAAAGAAAAGAAGAAGAAGAAGAAGTACAAGGAGAAAGAGATGCAAGGTTAAAAGCGAAAAAGTAACCGAAGCATGAGCTCGCGGCACGATTAATTGGCTCGATTACTTGGTGGGCGCGCATGCGAATCCTTGCTTATTAAATGCGTTTAATTAAGTCGCACGGTACTACGTCGGACTGCGTAATGATCGTTGAAAGCCCTCTACCACTACCACCACCACCACCACCACCAACATCACCACCAACATCACCACCATCAACTCTTTTCTCTTCTCTTCTTTCTTCTTTCTTCTTTTACCCTTTACATTTATTTTCTTTTCATTTATTTCTATTTTATCGCGACGAGTAGTTGTAGTGGGTTTACGGGTTCTGGGCTTCTTCTTGTCGGAGAAACGGACAAACKTGTGTGTTGTGTTGTGTTGGTTGTACGCATTTTACCTACGACAGCTGCGATACCGTTTTGCATCGATATCTATATATATATGCTAGTTTGTAGCCCACCACGCGTTACTGTGGCTCATGTGAACCAAAATATGATGTATTGATAATGGTTAGGTTATGTTGTTCAAATATTTCGCGCGCTCACCGAAATCTATGGCTAACAGATGGCGCTGATCTTACATGTATCTTTTTCTTTGTTTTTAAATTAATTAATTATTTTATAAATAAATTAATGTAATAAAAACCTAGCTGTATGCGAATGCAACGTTGTGTTAAAATTCAAAACAATCAGTAAAGTACTTTTGGAGATTACACACAAACAAACATATACATTATCACCATATACGTTATTCGCATTCGTAAATATTTAAATAACATTAGGAAAGAATAAGAAATAATATTGATGGATAACCATACGTCGTTCTTGATGCACATTTTCTTAAAGCCCAAGAATCCGTCGTCCATTGCAGTAAAAGAAGGGTTGGGAGGGGAAGGGGAGTAAAAAGTAAGAAGTATAGTGATCGTTGAGTTTCCTACGCGGTCGTCTTTGATAAAAGTGTGAAATGAATCGTCGAACGTCTGGCGCCAGAGGTATATAATATGTAGCGTGGGAGAGAGGAGARGAGAGTAAGAGAAGGGTTCTTTTTCTTTCTCTCTCTCTCTCTCTCTCTTTTTCTTTCTTTCTCTCTCTATTTCTCTTTCTGTTTTTGCAGTGATACGGTGTATGAAGTTTCAGCGTTGCGAAAGGAAATCGTGCGTTTCGTGACGAGTATCACGCGGGAAATGGCCTTATGCATATATATATATATATATATATGTTTGTGTGTTGTTATTATATATGCGTATAAATGCGTATATATGTAAATAGATAATGTTTGATATGATTATACGTCACAACAACATTTTATATATCATTCGAATTTTTCATTTCACGAGAGAAACAATACTTTCTTTATAATCCTATATCTCTTTATCTTTATTCATTTTTAATCTAATGTAATTAGTAATTTATATTGACTTTGTTTTAAACGTATAATTAATTGATCGATCATTTTATTTATTTCTTGTGTTTATTTTTACAGCCACAAAATTTGGTATTAACCGGCGATTTTCCCGATTGCGACGTGAAACTATGCGATTTTGGTATATCGCGATACATCAGCCACGGTGCAGACATACGCGAGATCTTGGGCACGCCCGATTATGTTGGTAAGTATTCAATTTAAACAAAAATAATAAAACTTTAAATTAAAAAAGTAGAAAAATAAAGCACTCCATAAGGCGACGACGTATTTTGGGAAGGGTGGGGTAAAAAAAAAGAAGGTAAAAGAAATTTTATAACTCGCGATGAAATGAACGTCCTCGGATGAGAGAAGCCAAGAGAGCAGCAGCAGCAGCAGCAGCCACCCGATGTATCAGCAGGGGCGCATAAATTAAAAAGGATTACCGCACGAATATAAATATAAATCATTTGACGTGCGTTGAAATCGATCGCCGCGGGTATCGCTTCAGTTTATTTTTTTTTTTTTTTTCATTTCACGGACCGACCGAATCTCCTTTCCTTCTCCCCCGTGTTAGCTGTCGTCCACTATAGTGGTCCTCTTCTCTCTTCTTTCTCTCTTACTCCAACGTGTTGTTATATTATATTCTCAGAGAAAATCTGGTTGCGTCCGTTGTAGTTGGGTGGCTCGTTTCGTAGCGCGTAATTCCATTAAGGAAACAGGGCCCCGGTTGCATAATTGAACAGAACAAGCCACTTCACAGTCGGTAATAAAGCCGCACGCACCGGTGGTGGTGGTGATGGTGATGATGGAAATGGCAATGGTGGTGGAATTTACTCGTCGTTTCTCTTCAACTGCTATTTCTACTCGCGCTCTTCTACACACTCGTCAAAGAAATGAGAGAAAGAAAGAAGAGAGAGAAAGAGTCCTTTTACGATGCTTGCGATTACTACTCCCGCAATTATTTCTGACTCCCCGTCTTCTCTAACGGTCGTCGAGTCTGAATGAAAACGGGACGAAAGGTATACTCGAGAAAGGGAGAACAAGAGAAAGAGAGAGAGAGATTTACCCTTTCGATTCATATGCGTGCCGTTTTCGCGCGAGTCGACACATAAATCGTCGACTTTCTTGATTGCCTCTTCACCGTATACCTATACTAACCCCTCTTCCATGTTTATATTTCTTATTGTATATGACGATATTAGAATATGTGTGAGTGTGTACGTATTTCATTGAGAAAGGATCATTTATAAAGTATATATAATATATTTTTTTCTTTTGTTTTTTTTTTGTTTATATCGGTCATAATGAATTCTAATTAATTCGATTAAATATTAAATTAAATATTTAATTAGAAACTATTAAATTATAATATTAATTCTAAATTAAATATTTTTAATTATTATTACTATTATTATTGATGATTTTTATCGCAATTATATTAATTTCCAATGAAAACAATTTCAAAGAAAAAAAAACAGTTCAATTTTACAACGCGAATGTTAGATTTACGTATGATAGACACAATAATGATCCAATTAAATAGGATAACAAGAACGATGATGACGGTGTGCATATGTTTCGTGTTAGAAGAACGGTTTATATCATCAAATAAATCTACATATATATATAGTTCTAGATATAATATTATTTACTATGCAACTCACAACTATAGATGCATACAAGCACAAGGGTTATGATTTCAATAAGAAGAAGATAAAACGACGACATCATAAATCATCGTTCTCTTTTAAAAACGTATCTTCCGCATCCGTGCGTGTTTCAGCCCCAGAAGTCCTGAATTACGAACCGATCAGTCTGGCAACCGACATGTGGTCGGTAGGAGTTCTACTCTACGTTCTTCTAACGGGATGCTCCCCTTTTGGCGGTGATACCAAACAGGAAACCTTTTGTAACATCAGCAGATGTCGTTTAGATTTTCCGGACGATCTATTCGAGGACGTATCAGAAGAGGCGCGAGATCTCATGCGCAAACTCATGGTCAAGGATCCAAGGTAAGAATCTTATTCTTGTTATTATAGTTTGATAATAAAATCATGATATAATAATTTTTAATCGATTACCTTTAATACTCTGTTTATCATACGATTGAGATAGAATAGGTTCTCGAAGAATACGTGTAAAAAAAAATTATATATATATATATATATGTATATGTATATGTTGCATTTATAGAAAAATAATTTTTGTTTGATTCCACTCATTATCGAATTTTTTTCTTAGAATTTGTTGGAATCCTATTTAAATCAAAATTGTGTGTAAAAAAAGAAAGTTCGTGTAAAAACAAAATTGGTGGGGGTTTATATTTTTGGTAATATACGTTCCCTTTTAAATTCTTTTTTCTATATTTATATATAATTGTATATTTATATAATAATGGAAATAATATTAAAAAATTGTCTACAATTATATTTATGATTATAATCGATTTTATACATTTTTGTAATATAATTTCCGATACATGATTCCATATTATTACTTTATATATATACATATATATGTCGTATAAGTAAATTTTCACATAATTTAGCTCACGTTGCAAATGTTATAACACGAGGCTGCTTGGAATGTCGTCGACATTATAGTTACACGAGCAACGCTTGTTCTTCTTCGAAGAAATCAAATAATACTAACATGCTTCTAATATAACCCACCGATGAACAAGCAGATCGCATTCGTTTTTCCTATGCGCCTTCAACGCCGGTGTATCTCTTTTCATTTGGTCCTATGTAGCGTAAACTTTCTTAGTAAGTCCATGACAGACTTCCCCGAAGACATTATTTACAAGCTTAAGTCTGAGAAATCATAACGCGATATATTATGACTTCGAAAATAACAAGAAARAGAAAGAAAGAGAAACAGAGGGAGAGATAGAAAAAAAATTAAAATATCTTTTAAACATTAACTCGTGTTGAAAGATCTCGTTACTCGTGAATCTTTCATTTCAAACGTGTTAAATACTTCAATGCATGATGCACATACATATTTTGTTGACCAATAAATAAGTAATGTCGTTATTTTTTTAATATATAATAAATTTATTTACAAATTATGTATTTATTTTATAACTTTCCAATCAGATTCATTCAATATCTTTTTTTTATAATAAATTCAGAAATATAGATTTCGCAATCCTTTATATTTCGTCCATTAATCAAATTTTCTAACCTACAAAATAAATGATAATCTCACTGTGTTACTAAATTAAATAAATACATTGCAAAAAAATGAGAATACACGAAAATACAAATTTTCATTGTTCAATTTGTTTTAAAAACATTAGAAACAAACTCAGAAAATAATATCCAACATTACTTCTTAGGATAACTGAAAAACAATCTTGATGTGTACAGGATACTACAAATACGTGTAAATATATAGATAGATCTTCCTGAATTAAAAACAAAAAAGGAAAGAAACACTTCAAAAAAAGGAAAAACAAACAAACAAATCCAGTCTTTGCTCAGGTCAGACTTTCTTTGAAACGGGAAGAGGAATAGAAAAACTCGTAGATTTCCTTATCGTGAAACAGATGGACAGCTGAAAGGAAGTCTCCATCCGGGCAATCCGTCCTTCCTCGCAAAGCCCAGGGCTTATCTCGTTGACGACAATGCTTAACGGAAGGGCAGAGAGAGAAAGAGAAAAAGATAGGAAATGATACGTCACACTAGTTTATACGAGAGAACGATTACGATGAGCCGTGTCGACGCACGATTGACTTTTTTTTTTCTTTTCTCCTCACACTTCTCACTCTCTCTCTCTCTCTTTTTTCTTTTCTTTTTCTCTTTAGTATAACTGCTAACGGATGGACGTTACGCAATCCAGTTAGTCCGCTATCGAAGACAATCCTGTTCTTCGTCCGGAAGTTTTAAAACGTTGACGACAACCACAAAAGTATATACTAGGTCTCCTTATTCGAGAAATTTTACTGTTTACTTTTTATACCTGAAAGACTTCTTTTGATAATGTCCCTCGTGTAAACTCATACATACATACATACATACGTTACGTAGGTATATAACACATACCAAAACTTATCTCGAAATATTCATCTAACGTATGCATAAGTATATGTTATTATTTTTGTTCCTATGTAATATCTGTAAAAGTTTTGGGAAAAAACAACCAGAAAGTGTCGTTAGATAAAAAGAAACCTCCCCGCCCCCTCCCCTTCTCGCGTGGGTTTTTGATATTCGACCTCCGGTTAATCGGAGCAGAACTTGGGTATAACGAGTAACTGTACTTTCACGCGATTCGATTATATCTTTCACAATCAGGAACATTAAGAAAAGATACTACCTCGGGTTGCACCTGTATTATTATTATTTCGTATTTAAATATTATTCTAAGATTACGGTATTGGTGGTTTTAGAATGAGAAACATTTTAATCTTTCATTTCTATCTCAATAAATTTCTAAATCAATTTTTCTTTTTCTTTGAATTTCTCTTTCATGAGTCTTTTATTTTAAAATAATCTTTATACGTTTATAATTATACTAATAAGTGTTATTTGTATATTTCAGCGAACGACTGACAGTAACGGAGTGTCTTCAACATGCATGGTTCGCCATGTTCGATGACCCAGTGCCACCGTTATCCCCTTCACTTCCCCCTACGGAAGACTCCACTTTAAAATCAAAGACGATCTCGCAGCAAGAAGAAGAAGAACCACAACAACAACAATCACCATCACAACAACAACAACAACAGCAGCAACAACAACATCAGCAGCAACAACAACAGCAACAACAGCAGCAACAACAGCAGCAGCAGCAATCGAGTAATAAATCTTTGCTGGAAGAAACTAAAACGACAATTCCAAGTTCAACGCCAAAATGTTGCGACAACGATAACAGCGTGAGAACGTCGAACGTTTCTAATCATAATGAAGTAAAGACAACAGTGACTACACGTGCAATGTCATCGCATACTGAAAATATTTATTCGACTTCTAAATCAAGCCCAAAACCAATAAGATTCGGTTTGAGTTCCGATCGTAAGGATATATTTAAACGTAACATGGACTCGCTGGCACAAAAATTTTCCAGCACAGAAATCGTCATAATAGAATCTTCATGCGCTAATAATAAAAATACGACGACAACAACGACGACTACAATAACGACTAATACAACAATGATATCTGGAAACGTGAGTACACCTAGAAGAGCAACGGCCACTCACACTATGCCAGCTGGCGAAGTTTTCAAATGTACCCCGGTGTTCATTCTTGGCGAGGAACAACAATGCAGCGACGGTGGTAGCGATACGGTATCGGAAATTTCGACTGACAGTTCGAGCGATCGAAGTAGCATTTATTCCGACGACTCGTTGGATTTTATTCTATACGGGAAAACACAGGGTGGAGGTGGTAAGGCCAGTTTTCCCTTCACAGTTGTTGCCGATTCTACGACAGACAGATGGGAACAAAGGCATCACCATCATCACCACAATCCACGAGCCTGGCCAAGAGAATGCAACGGCGTTGTTAGCAAAGCACTCAGTCGTTTCACGTCAGAGACGTCAAGCATCAGCAGCAGCAGTAGCAGCAGCAGCAGCAGTAGCAGTAGCAGCAGCAGCAGCAGCAAGTCCTCTAAATTGTCAACGACGATTCCACCGGTAGTTCGCGGTAAAACTGGCTTGGAAGCTCTCAGAGAGAGGGGTGGAAATCTGGTCGTCATAAGGGAACCCGTTAGAGCCGGTAGATATACGAGGTACACTGAAGTTCAGTGCGAATCGGTGCAGGCACGGATTCGACGTTTCCAAGTACGCGAAGCGTCCTAAAGGAAAAGTAATCTTTCCCCATAAATCCCCCCGCCCTCCCTCCGCCTACTACCCGCGTCTTCAAAGAGGACACCTGAGATGACTAGCCAATTTTTTTTTACTTGGTACTCGCCGTCGTTAAATTTCAAACGATGATCCGTGATAGAGACTGATGCTTCTTTTTTTCCTTTCTTTCTTTTTCTTTTTCTTTTGTACATAGATAAGAAACGTTAATCGTGTACAGATTAAGGGCCAATCGTGCCTCCTTACGACTAAATTCTGTAGGTATGGAAGCGTGTGTTATTACGTAATAGTGAGAGAAATGTTAATAAACGCGAAAGAGAGATGAGGTAGGATGAAAAAAAAAGCAAAAAAAAACGTTTATTAATGCGAACAAATGGCTGTTGTATATATATATATAATAAGTGAGATACAATTTAGGTACGTGTGTGATGACGTGCATGTCGTTTTGTTCTCTCCCCTTTTTTCTTTTTCATTTTCATTTTCATTTTCATTTTCTTTTTCTTTTCTTTTTTCTTCGAGAATTATGACCAGGACGTAATCCACAAATTTTCTGCGGTACATAATATAAATAAATAATTAAATACATATATACATAAATACAAAGCGTACGGTCAAGATAAGAAAGAAAAAAAAACACGTTATACATAACGTTATACGGCAATGATAACGAGACTTTTATGGTATCATGTAAATAATAGGAAAGAGAAGAAATTAGATAAAATGATGTAAAGTTGATTATAGAAAGTTTGAGAATACGTAGAATAGAGATCTGTAAAAAATAAAAAAAACAACAACTCGTTATCTGCCGTTTTCAAAGGAGAAGGGACACAAACTTTCGTGGCGACTTAAACAAAAAAAATTAAAAAAACGTATTTATGCGAGCATCCCAGTTGAAATGATAAAAGTAAAAAAAAAAGAATAAAATAGTGGTGCTTTAGTTGGAGATTTCCATTCGAATTGATAATGTTATTATTTCGTTGTGACGTACGAACAAGCGTATTATCATTAATATTATACGTCGCCCAATATATGTGGTTGTTGTATATTAATATATATATCTATAATATATATATATATATATATATTAAGATATAAAGTGTTCAGCGTCCTATACGACGAATTTTACGTTTATTAAGCTCCATTTCAATAACTTTGGTGCCTTCGTAATAAGCGTTTATAACATTTCAAACAAACTCCTCCGTATAACGTATGATTATGATTTATGTACATACACATAATATACATGCATACATATATTTCGCATATAAAATACACAGGATACGTAAGTAGTGCCTGCTCCTTCGCATAAAAACATTTGTACACCGTATATTAATAAATAATACACACAAGACGACTGTACGAATTTAAAACAAACAAAAAAAATATGTCACGATTGAGATTGTCAGTGGACAATAGTGCCTTAAACGCGCGTGCAAAAAAAAAACCTTTTTACAGGGTAGCTCGTCGATTATGCGAAATTGAGAGCCTAGACGAGCCTTTAGGCGTCTCTAATTAATTACTATTAATATTATTATTGTTATAATTATTATTATTATTATTACTATTATTATTATTACTATTATTATTATTATTATTATTGTCTAGTTTTCTTCCGTGACGTCGAAGGAATACGAAAAGAAAATTTTTAAACGATGATTTGAATCAAAATGAACACACAATGCCTACAGTTTTGGAAATTACAATATTTGTAAATGAAATATATATATAAAGTGAAAAATAAAAATTAAATTTATAAATAAAAAAAAACAACACATAAAAATAGAATAAAATAAAAAACAATTAAAAAAAAAGGAACATAAGATCCATCATAAATTTTTCATTGTCAATGTTACGAGAGATAAAAAAAATGTTTTTTGCTTATTACAATTATATTTTACGTAATTATGAATTTCTCTTTTCCTCCGTCGACGCCTATCATTATCATCATCATCATCATCATCATCATCATCATTATCATCATCTATTTTTTGACATTGCCCCATATCAAAACTGCCCAATCGATGATCGAAAAATGGTAGAAAATTTCTCAAATATTCGATCATCGATAATGTGCCTCTCAATACAACTGCCGATTTATAATAATAATTAATAAGTAATATTCACTCGCGCGTAACAAGATAACAATAAATAATATTCGACGAATTATCAATAGCATTTGTTAAATTAAAAAGAAAATATTTAAACGACGAGCAACATAAAAAACAGAGACGAGAAACAATTTCGTATTCGGGTCTCATGTTAAGCCTAAGAATGATGACTAATATATATACAAACATGCCTTAATTAAAAACTACACACCCCACCCTCAACCCCCTCTGTTTAGTATTTCTTTTGTTTTTTATTTTATTTTATTTTATTCTATTTGTTTTTTCTTTTTTTTTCTTTTTTCTTTTATTTATTTCCAAATATCCAAATTAAACACATATACACACACACAACACATACATAATCGATCTATATATCTATCCCACGTTTAGTCGTTAAACGGTGAGATACGAATGCGGATCGAAATTATAATCTCTTGCGTCGGAGAAGGAATATTTAAATAATATCTGTCGTTTTGGTGTATTTGTAATATTTTTTCCCCAAGGACGTATACATATATATATATATATATATATATATATATATATATATATATATATATATATATATGTGTATGTATATATATTATATTAATTATACAAAATCTCTTTCGCTGCATGACAATAATATGCGAAAGATATTCTTCGCGGAGATGGGAATAAGCGACTTTCGAATAGGAAGATTTTTAACAACAAAATAATAAATAAAAAAAAAAAAGATAAAAATCGAATCTTCTGCGGATTTCAAAAGAAAGAAGTAAAATCCCATCGTACTCCGTTAAATACTAGTCATATATAAAAGAAAAAATAAAAAAAATGGAGGAAATATATATATGTATGTATATATTATTATTATTATTATTATTATTATTATTATTATTATTATTATTATTATTATTATTATTATTATAGCGTTCGTTTTCATTGGATCCTCTTTGTATATCTCTAATTGTTATCATCGTTCTCCGGGCACACGGTCGTTGGCTTCTCGTCAACGAACGGTCAGTGTCCTTTTCAATCATTTTTCCGAAGTATTTTTTTTTCTTTCCATATTGGAGAACGTGAATGGTGTTGAAAAGAAAACGAACGATCGTATTAGTCGAAATGACAAGGCTTCTTCGTGATGAAACGTTTTATCATTCGATGATCGACATTAAGACCTTGTCAATCCTCCGTGCCGATATATATATATATATATAAATAAAAGTGTGTGTGTGTGTTTGTATGTGTGTGTGTATTATATAATAAATATATATGTAGGTTTTGTGTATCTAAATTAATAATTTCACTTTTTTTTCTTTTTCAACACATATACATACACACACACACACACACACTTTACACATAACATATATCTAATTTTTATTCGGATGGATTAAACAAAAAAATAAAACAAATAAATTAACGTAATCGTCGCGAAGAAATCGAAAGGTCCTTTTAATCGATCGATCTAACAACGACGAAACCTATATCAATAACAAAATATCATTTGTATCATTATTATTATTATTATTATTATTATTATTATTATTATTATTATTATTATAATCATACTCCCATCCGGGAAGAAACAACAAACGAAGTTAATAAAACTTCAAATTGTTCAATGTTATGTGAAAGAAGTTTTGAAATGTTCACAAGTGCGAAGAAAAAATATTTATAATAATTAAATATTTCGACTAATTCAATTTATAATATTATCATTGAAATGTGAAAGAAAAATATCGCACAAAACATGAAATATTAATATCATCATACTGTCGTTGTACGCGCGCACATACACACACACACACACAACGCGCGCGCGCAGTCGTTACAAGACGCTTTTTACCGTGAAAAACAAAACAAACAAAAATTAATAATAAAATAAAAAAAAAACAATAATCATATTATTTAAAGTTTATCCTTTTCCGAGAATGAACGATGATTGTGTGTTTGTTGTTGTTGTCTGTTTCATTTTTTGTATGTGTTTTTCTTGAGCATGAAAGAGGTTGTTTCTTCAGTGTGATTTGAAAAAAAGAAGAAGAAGGATAAACTTCTATAATATAATTTTGCTACTATGGAATGTAGGGATAGGGCTTGGCGTTCAAACGATCAATCATTTTCATTCGTACTTTCTCGAGGCTAATTTACTTTCCATATTTATTTTGATTTTGTTTTCTTCACAGGATAAAGAAAACAGGTGTCGTATTTAATTATCGTATTCGATTGGTAATTTCGGTTGTTTTTGTATTATAATTTTGTAATATCATTGAATAATAATATGGCCTTGTGAAAGACGAGTTCGCGTAATTTTTTTGTTTTTATTTTTCTTTTCTTTCTTTCTTTCTTTTTCTATTACATGAACGCGCTCCATCCTTTATCTCAATTTATTCTATTAATATTATTATTGTTATTATTWTTATTATTATTATTATTATTATTATTATTATTATTATTATGTTATTACTATTATTATTTTATTTTATAATTACTATTAATTATTTTATTATTATTTCTATTATTATTATTATTTTATTATTATTATTATTATTATTATTATTATTATTATTAATAATATCGAAGTTTATTCTGATGGAAAACACGTTCGTGTACCTAGAACTTAACGACATCCTGTAAATACTGCTATCATTGTATTTTCTTTAATAACGTACGAAATAAATGCTATAAAATATGAAAAAATGAGTGATATTTGTTATTGTTTAATTTCCCAATCCTGCTAAAAGATTCTGTTTTGAAAAAATAAAAAATAAAAAGATGTTGTGTATATTCTTTGATGTACGATAATACCAATTTTCTTTTAAAAATATTTCCTAACATTGTTATCGTTTCTTTTTCTTCGAAGAAAAAAATTTAAAAATTTATTATTCAACTAATTATTTTTACGAATGAACAAATAACAAAAAATCGTTGAAAGTTGGATCTTCATTCGACTTTAAAATCATCGACGTTATCCGTTACAAATGAGTTATTCAGTTAGTTCTGTTTCGAACTACTGAAGGAGTAATTTTCAATTTCACTCTAGACTCGTGACTCGTATAATTATTCCAAGAATATTATATCTACATATATTTTACGTTCTACGGATTAACGGTCAATGATCCCAGCAAACAACGAAACTAATCCTTCTGTAGTCCGGTGTGTGACTTTAAGTCACATACCAATATATATATTCTTTTTAATTAAATATTATCTTATATAACCTTTACCTGCAAACAAATAAAATTCATTCTTAATTTATATATAAAATATTATTTATATTTGTTTGTTTCGAATTATATAAATTGTTGTATTATCGCTGAAAAAAATAATTTAAAACATATAAAGTTGAATGAACGCAAAGAGGTGTCTCGTGTGTAACTTTAAAGTCACTTACCAATATACATATATAAATACTTTTTTATTTTTAATTAAATATTATTTTATATTACCTCTTTTTTTAAACAAATAAAATTCATTCTTAATTTATATATAAAATATTATTTATATTTGTTTGTTTCGAATTATATAAATTGTTGTATTATCACTAAAAAAAAATAATTCAAATCATAAAGTTGAATGAACGTAAAGAGAGGATCAAGTTTATTATAATACCAATATTATAATAAATAATTTAAAAGATTATATCATAATATTATTATTACCAGGAAGATAAATGAAACGTAGTATAATGTAACTAAAAGAATGCGTGACCATATTCGTTTGTAAAGGTACAAATCGTTTGACTATGCGATCACGTCATATCATTAGAATAGAAACGTTAGAATCTCATCTCTTTTATCGATTAACATCTCGTAGATAAGATAAACGAAGAGAAAATGAAATAAGTCTCTTAGGATTGAGGATTAGATCATGCTATTCCAACTTGCTCGTTTTACGATCATATGCTCCACCGTGCCGCTAATTTAGTTTACCATTTAAAACGATAATGATAGTATATTTGCACCACCGACTATAATCGTTATGTTACCTGGCTATGTTCAAATGGTATGACATGAAAGAGAGAGAGAGAGAGCGAGAGAGGGAGGGAGACCATCCAATCCCGTTTAAAGTGTGCCCACCTTGAAGATGTACCCACGCTTCT